TTGGGGTTAAATGATTTTTCTAAGATCTCTTGAGAATAATTTCAAGAGACTAAGAACTAGTGATGTGATCTTGGTTGAAACAACGTAAGTTCTCGTTAAGTGAAAGATCGTTAAATAAACGCGATAACATTCATGTTAGAATGAATAGTCGATAAAGCAAAGAACTAGAGGAAAAATGTTTGATTGCTTCTTACTAAATTTGTTGTGGGAGACGAGCACGGCATTCCAGTGCGACACAATTTCCAGTGTAATTTGGATATATAAACAAAGTTGAAATGGTAAATTGGCCACCGTAATGATTACAAAAGCTGACGTTTCGAGCGTTAGCCCTTCGTCGGAGCGAATGAGTGGATAATCGTAAAAGATCGTCACCTGCCAGTTTCCATTCATAAACCTCTTAATCTTCGCAAGGATTGTAATTACGTATCCTGAACACCACTCATTGTCGATTATATGTTCGATGTACCTAAAACAGAAACAAGAAGGTGCCAACAATTGAACCTTCGATCTTTGTGCTCTCCTCTGGCAAGCTAAACTGTTTTCACTTGCAATAAAAATACCATAATTTTAACCCATGACCTCTGGGACACCGGTGCAGTGCTCTACCTACTGAACTAAAAAGCCAACTGGGAGCTGGTGAGAGGTCATGTTTCAAATCTTGTACAGGCCTGAATTTTTTTCAGGCCTTATGTCAACTGCTGCTTAAATAGTGTTCATAGCTGCGAAGATCGCTTTCATATTAATTTTCATTACTGCCAGAAAGAAAGAGACTGTTAATTACTCTTCGTAACCGGTATCAGCGACATCTGGACAGGCTTTGCAATTCGGACCGCCGCAATCGATGGCATGTTCTCCTTGGTTTTGTACCCCGTCGTCACAAGTGGGTGGAGGCGGAGGTTTTACTACTCCACAATTGGGCTGCTTGGGATCCCAGGCATCCTGAAAATAGAAAAATAAACAGCCAAAAAGTAAGAGATAATGATGACAGATAATGAATGATTAATTGAACGAAAAATAAGGAAGAGAATGAAAAACAAATGGGGGATGGATGGATGGATGATTGGTGGCCATGGGTGGATGGATGCACAAGAAGGAATACAGGAACTCAAGGATGAGTGAAGGAGTGAGTGGATGTATGATACGTAAGTCTGTGTAACGATAAGCAACTTACAGTATTTTTGTCCATGCCAAGTTCGTGCTTGCAAACAGCCGGCGACACAGACACCTGACAAGTGATCCTGGGATCACAATCTACGTTGATTGGCACTTCCCTTATGCGGTCATCAATTGCACCGACCTTATCTGGATGGAAACAAAAGTCTCCAAGTTTTGGATCCTTGGTAAGGCTCGACAGAGGGAGACCAGCTCCTGGGGGACCCAATCTACATTGTGGAACAGGTGGATCCTTAGCCGTGGTACAATCCAGACTGGGGTCACCTCCTGTGACACGAAGCTTTGCACAGTTGTAGTAGGGCTTCAGCTCGATGCCTATGGCCGCTTTGTACTGTAAAATGTAGATGCCGTCAGCAAGGTTGAAGGGAATGGTAATGGTTGTATCGTAACGCTCATCGTCGAGTATGTCTGCATAAAATATGAATTACAATCAGCCGACTTCTAGAAGTCCAGAACTTTTGAATATACCTTAAGGTGAATTACCGACTCTATGGTACTGTTGGATTTATAATTTACTGACTAGTACTCAGCGCAAACTTCTTTTATCCAATTCGTTAAATTTTCAGGGCAAAAATAGCCGATAATTTTTCATGACCCCTTTAAAACTGCCTATCATCTTTACTCAGCTTTGAAACTATTTTACTTCCACCTCTCTCAACAAATATTGGGTCAAAAATAAATTCGCATCCACACGGACCAAGAAATTTAGGAAGTGTGTTTATTTTTTGCATAGAAAACTTTGAAACATTTCAAGAACTTGGCGCTACTAGAACGTGCTTCCGCTGACCAACTTTACTGCGTCATCTGAAAATCTCGATTAAGTGACTTGCCTGATTGGTACTGACATCCTGGCCTAGCATTGCATGGATGCTTTCAGTCGCCAAAGCGGAACATGCCAGGCCTCTGATCATGTCCATAACACACAACTTTCAGTACGTTCTTCAGGTAAGCTTCATGGCTATCCTTCTGACTCTCAGGAACCAAGGCCAGTCTCACGTATCCACCTCCATGATTGTTAGAAGTCCATCCAACCTTAAGGAAAAGGGTAAAAAGGGACAGAAAATTGGGAAAGGCTTTTTCATTTGAGGCATTTTTCATTTGAGGCATTAAAGAGTGAGTTATGTGACTTGAGTTACACTGACATTCTACTTACAATAGAAGAAATTCCTTTACTGGCTGAACTCAAGATGAATGCTTAATCGATATATGTGGTCAGTATTGCTGTTATTAAAACCATTATTACTATATTAACTTACATCATCATTATGATCATCTTCCAAACTGGATTTGAAGTAATGAAATCAAATTGTTCATCTATGGCCACAAAAAGTAATTATAGAACATTGAAAGTAAAACAACAAAATAAAGTAACAAGTACATATGGTGAACGATCGTCGCAGTAGATAGCGCTATTTAAAGTAACAAGTGGAAATTATTTAAGTTTGTTGAAATTATGTTAAAATGAAAAATTCGACAATCAAACTTTCTTTTTTATTAATATCTTTTTTTGGAGCTTTTTTTTTCAATGACTATGGATTAGGTGTTGAAAGCACCTAGTTAGGTGTGACAAAGATGATCCAGTTTCATCACAAGAAAGCTGATCCACCAAGAACAGTAAGCTTCTTCTTTAAATGCCTATCAAATGCAGAATTGAAAAAGGCATTGAACAAACCTTAAGGCGATCCCCAGCCAGCACATCAGTTGTGGCTCCTTAATTAAGACGGAATAGAGAGAAATTTGATTTATTCTACGATCAAATTGGGTGCATTCTGAATTAACTTTTACTAATACCAGATGAATCTTCACCTTTGTACCATTTTTCGCATGGCCCCGTTGTATCTCCAGCCTTATCCGGGTATGTATCGAAAGGCCTGCAACAATTTTATAACGCAATCTTACAATGTTAAAATAAATGTTACTCTTGTTAAGAGATACCAAATTTGTAGTAAAAAAAAACCCCTCTTTTTAAAATTTTACCTCGGGCAGCTCATCCATGAATGCCCTTTTACAAGCCTTTGGGAAGCGACGTAGAACACGACAAGGAAAACTAGTTTGCAAATCATCTTTTTAGCAAACGCTTACTCAGCTTGAATGCACTCCGTAACTAACTAGCCAACTAAATGCATTCTATCTTTATTAGTGAGTCTTTATTAGTGAGTGCCTCACGAAAGTCAAATTAGGATAAAATGTTTAGTTTCACTTATGCCACCACTTTGCAAAATGACAATCATAGGACAGCTGTATAAGTATTAATCATGTTGGGACTTTCACGAAAATTACTTTTCTCGTTAAAATCTTAAGTGATTGATGTATTGAAATGATTTTATATTTAAGAGGAATTTTTCCGTTGAAACAAAAGCAAATACGATGCACTTATTCTTGCCGCAAGTAATTCAGAATGTTAACCTCAAGCGGAATCATTACTGAGTTGTTTTTTCTCCCCCTTTAATTGCATAGTTTGAAACAATTTTCACAACATTTTTTATTCTAGTCTGGTGATAAGTAAATACATTTTTTTAAGTAATAAAAAGGGGCTGGACCATTAGATTCTTAATCCTTTCATTTATACGCAAACCAAAGGTTTCTTGAGATTTGTTAAGAGGTTAGAATTTCTTACGAATAACAAAAATGTAAGCCTCAGGCCCGGGTTGCTCGAAGGTTGAATAACGCTATCCACTGGATATCTCTCTCTCCAGTGGATAGCGAAGTAAGTTTTGCCAACACTTATCCGCTGGATAGCGATTTATCCGTTGGATAGCGTTATCCGCTTTTTGAACAACCGAGCCCAGAACTACACTGTTGGTGTCTCAAGGGGGTTACAAGGCCTGAGCTATAAGAAAACTCTTAATGAAGAGCAAAATCGTTAATAAAAGGAAAGAAGGAAAATTCAGATTAAATGGATCAGCTGGACTTAAAAAAAAATATAATAAACAAACAAATAAACAAACATTAACACGAAAAAATGATAAAGCTCAAATCAGAGTACTACACAAGATGAAACTTGTTAAGAATAAAACAAAAACACTTAAGTTTCATATGCCATAACCGAAAGTAGATCAAAATAAAACAGGATTTAAAAACGACTCAGTTCAGCTTATTTTGCAAGTTAGAGATACAGCTATTCTCGCCATGTTTGATGTCGAATGATAATAGTTTATTCTCTGATCAAGAGAAGTAGAAAATTTAAATGATAAATATTCTAGTTGGCTCAAAGACTTTCATCAGAGATGTCCTTTTTCAAAACTTAGATTGCTCCACAAGAAAATGGCTACATCGATGACTCTTGTGTGAGATGCATTTTAATTGCGTGACCTTCTTGTTAGAATTCGCAACTGAAACCATCGCAAAGGACACCGCCTCCTGATCATAGCCAGCTGTTCTTCTCTTCGCAAGGTGAGCTATCTAAGATTCGAAAAGACACAATGACTCGAAAATCAGAGGATTTTTGTGAAGTAAAATTATAGGGGCAAATTTTTAAGCAGTAAAAATAAAATAAAAAAAAGCAAACAAGTAATAGATTACGGCGCCTACTATGTCTTGCAAGACAATAATATTTCTCGACGAGTGAAGATTTCTATTAGAGATTCGAACACTAGCCAATAATAATTAACTTAGTTGCAACTTAGTTGCATTATGTTAGGTGCATCTGCGCCAAGCGTCATTTGCACTGGCTAAGATCAAAGATGTCGAAAGCGTCGTCAGATTGCTTTTAATTTGATCAGTTTTTTGTTCTTGTTTTCGATTTTTCAGGAAATAAAATAAACTTACGAGGTTAAGAACGAGGTAGACATTTCAATTTATCATTCAAGTGGTAGCTTTATTCCTTCTTAACACTGAACATTTTGAGGCCAGTCACAATACTTTCTTATCTTGTTGTACTTAAGTCCTGGTGGGCAGCTTCTAGGATACGCCACGCCAGCTGAACATACAATAAAACCGGAACAGTTTGCTGGATCAGGAAAATAACCGTCCACTGAACAGTCGACAGGACCTATGGGAAGAAATGATTTACAGGCTAATAAGTACTAAAGTAAACAGTTTGAATAAACTGACTGACCATCAAAAAAAGGCCAATCCTATTTACTATCTTAGTCAACAATTTCCACAACTCAAAATAAGCGCAAACATGCTGAAGCGATCGTAAACGAACCTTTTCGCAATCTCTGAGGC